TTATTCTTTAAAATACGTCAGAACCGTATGTTGGCTATTAGCTATATTAAATAAAAACTTGAGTCTTCGCGGTTGTTATATTGCAAGCCTTGTAATTATCTATTCAATGAAAATGGTTATTTTCTTGCAGCATTGGCACTCTTTCACGGCAAGCACTTATACATACGTGACATGTGTACAATATTTTCAAACATATTGTTCTTCAGTGCAATCAATAACGTTATTATTTTTTTGTTTTTGTGGTAAGAGTATAGAATTTTCAATTACATGTGGTTTTCCGTATCGCTTATATATATAAATCAGAGTTTAAGTATATAAATTAGATTTTTGGAGAAAAAAAACCTGATGTCCACGATTGTAACTATCGGCAATTAATCCTATTTAAATAAATAAAAATAATACTAATGTTATCAAAATATTTAATACCTATATGTATTGGTGGTGTTTTGCCATAAGTATCACAAAAACAAATAAAAGTCATGATCAAAATTAATTACGATGTCTGTTTAACAATAATATTATCACATTATCGTGTAAATATAAGAAAATACTATTAGAAAACCAGAAATCCAACGCTAATCGTTGAACATTCAAGTAACAAAGTTATTGGTTGATGAATTTTCAATTTGATTATAATATTTTTGGAACCTTTTGATATAGTTTTCTTTTCAATTTAAAATGTTTAAATCTATACGAAGATCAAAATATTAATGAAATGTTTATTCAAACTATAAAACAATCAAAACATTTTACATTTTTTTTCAAAAATTCCGAGGACCATATGCATAGAGAGAATGACAGCGGGACGAGGGCACCATATACGGTTACGGTTGAGATATTTTCAAAATTTCAACTTCTCATTTATATATTGGACTTAACAAAACTCTATTACAATATAATTTAACTAGGCTGCGATTTGCAGTGTTAATTTGAAACATACCACATACAACACAATATTATAACGKACYGGTAAAAATGTTTTAATGTATAGAAGTCAAGCAGGCAAATGAACAATTTTATTTGATCACTTAGAATTATGATGTACCTACCTAAAATGTTATATACATTACAATAAACAATAGATAAATATTGCATACAAATATATAAGTACTCAACTACTAACTTTATAATTGAAAATTTTAACAAACGATTTTTACGCTTTGCATGGTAAGTACTAGAGGTACAAAAATCATAAGAGCATGCTTGAATAAGTATACTTTGATCAGGTACATACAAAATACTGCCTGCCTATACTTACTTGCATCTGAAATATTAACAACTAGTCTTATCCAAATAAAAAAAAAAAAAATAGTTTAATAAAATTCCGTTGTTTAGTTGCACTCAATCGTACTATTTTAATCTAGTTGTAACATTAGAGATATAATAATTAATTGGGTCATAATCAGGGCTTGAAATCGATTTTAAATATCGATAAAAATCGTTAAAATCGTTAAAATCGTTTAAATAAAATCAAAATTAGGTAATATCGAAATCGTGAATGCTTGTTAATGATTTTCAAAATTTCTATTAAAATTGAAAAAAGTTAAAATTGATATTTTATATCGAAATCGAAATCATTACATAATCAAATCGATTTTAAATAAATTTAAAAAAAAAATCAAAAGTATACAAGCATACAGATATCAGGTCTATTTACACTTAATATTGATCATATTATGCACACTCCTTGTTAAATTGGATAATAACATTGACTATACATATTGTTTATCATGCACAATAGTGTGTATAGCAAATAGCAATAACTACTAATAATTAATAACTTATGTCTAATATTTTGTTTTCTGAGAATGGAATATTTACAATATTGTATACATATTATAGAATAATACTTTAATAGGAATCGGGGTTCGACGAGCGTTTGTTGTTGACTTGTTGTTATTACAAGTTTTATTTTGATAGGTACCTACACACATTTGGCTCATTAAATAAAATGCTCAGAAAAGTATTTTTTMCAATATTGTACATGATTTATTTCGTATTTAGATATTTTGTATTATGGCGATAAGAGAACATCTTAGTCGTTGGCTTGCGTATGTCGTGATAACTATAACTAAAAAGTGTAATACAAATATGATTTGTTTTATATTTTATAGATTTATATTAGTATTATTATTACTTATATTAGTATTATTTAACAATAATAAATAAAACRTTGGGATGTTTGTAATGTGTGTCTTTATTGTTATTTTTTTTTAAATCTCTCTTTAAGAAATTTAAAATGTCCAAAAGTATGGAAATTTATTAGCTCATTACTTATAACGTATAAGGTACCTATGTTATTTCGGGTGGCTAGTGTTTTATACTTTTATTATTAAAATTCTAAACATTAGCCCTTAGGCATTGTTATTTAAATGGTGCGACAGCAATTTAGTTGATATAGTTAATCAATATTAGAATTTAAGATCTAAACATTCTAAACTAAATAATTACTTTAACTTTGTTTGAAATGTCAAAGTAATAAAAAATAATATA